GGCTCAGTTGGTTAAACATAATCTTGATTTTAGCTCAATTCATGATCTCACCATCATGAGATTGAGCCCCTTAGCAGATACTCTCTCTCCCTTTTCTCCTTCCCCCCCTCATGCTCTCTCTCTCTCTCTAAAATAAAATAAAGGGGGAAAATAAAAGAAAAAAATAAAATCAGCATATTAGATTAAATGAAATTTGGTGATAAGTTTATAAAATTTGTTTAGAAAATTTAAAAAATATAATTGTGATGATATATGCAAAAAACATTTTTCGTTATAATTGTAAAATTAGATTTAGGAGACCGTGTTTTAGTCAAGACAGATGTTTTTGTAGGTAAATTTTGATAAACAGCAAAATGTTACTAGTATTACAGAGAGATGAACCAGAAACACAGTTTGGGAAGCAGAAGATACAGCTAAAGACTAAATAATGTCTTGATTCCCAGTTGTTCCCATTACCAAGACTAAATATACACATGACTCCCAGTTACAAGACTCCTTAGTGCCAAAAATGTTGTAGAGATTAAAACTCAGCGCAAATGATGCACATAATGATTAGAAGTATAGCATCAAGTTTCTTGCATTTTTACCTTGAGCAGGACTTGGGTGAAGGTGGAGAAAAACTTAGTGACGTTTTGGAGGAATTAGAATAAAGAACAAAAAGAGCAACTTTATGTGGAAAGGCTTGAGTGATATATAAAAAGGCACCATGCTTAAGAGTATCTAGTACATTTCCACTTGTCCTTTCCCTGCAAGTGTGGCTATGACACATGAAAATCAAATCAACCAACTGTGGGGGGCTGAGGTGGTTGATTCAGTGAAGCATCCAGCTCTTGATTTCAGCTCAGTTCATGATATCACAGTTTGTGAGTTCGAGCCCCCCTATCAGGCTCCATACTGACAGGGACAGAATTCTCTCTCTCCTTCTCTTTCTGTCCCTCCCCTGTTCACACTCTCTCTCAAAAAATGTAAATAAAATCTTAAAAAAAAAAAATTAACCAGTGCTTGTGAACCTATGCATTGGTAATATTTTTCAAATTCTTAACTACTTTTTGTCATCTGTCATATGTTCTTGAGAATATAGACTGACGTAGCATATATATGTGTATGTGTAAACATATGTTTAGTGTTTACATATATTTACATATTTATATCCCAGAATGTTACAGTCTTGCAAGTTGCTTAATATGTATGAACTTCACTTTTATCACCTGTAAATAGGGATAATAGGAGTTATGTCACAGGTAGATTGTGGAGATGGACTGTAGTATTTCAAGCATTTGATACAATGCCCAACCCATAGTAGACATTCAACAAATGGCATTGCTATTGTAGTTAAACACAGATGCTTTAAAGTTACATCAATTTAAGCATCAGGTTTGGCAATTTCTTTACAATGCATACAACTTTATATAAAGTATATAAACACATTACACACATTTACAATAGGACCCAGCATTTCCATTCCTTGGTACTTACCTAAGAGAAATGAAGATATTGTTCCACAAAATGACTATATACTGGTGTTTATAGCAGCTTTATTAATAATTGCTCCAAACTGGAAGCAACCCAAATGTCTATCAGCTGGTGAATGGACATACAGATTGTGGTACATCCCTATGACAGAATACTACTCAGTGATATAAAAGAATGAACTGTTGGTATATGTAATGCTCAGAAGCTCTAAAGCATTAAGCTAAGCAAAAGAAGCCAAATTAAGAAAGCTGCCTACTACATGATTCCATTTATGTGACTTTCTAGAAAAGGCAAAACTACAAGGGTTAAAAATCACAAGTGCTTGCCAGGGACTGGGTGTAAAAGGAAGGCATTGACTATATTGGTACATGACAGAGCATTTTAGAGTAATGGAAATATTCTACATCTTGAAGATATATTATCTGTAAGTACATAACCATATAGTGAAAGTATAAAATATCTTTGAAAATTTTGAGCCCAAATTCATGGAGGGAGGGAATGTAACTATTAAGTGCAAAATATGGGTTGGAGTAGAGGATATTTTTAAAATAGGAAGCGAAATAGCAAAATAGTTTTTAAATTTAAAACAAAGTTTGTAACAGTGTATAAAGAATGCCATCAATATTGTAAATAGGTATATTTAGCTGTAAATATGCATGAATGTTTATATATACACATATAGACTATTTCTGGGAGTATATACAAAAACAGGTGACTGCTAATTTTAGGAGAGGGGATTTGTAGTACCCCTACTGTTGAGAGAAAGATTTAGTTTACACTGAATATTTTTTTATACTTTTTGAATTTTATTAGTTTTTTAATGCATATGTTTTTATGTGAATACACACATAAACGAATGCATGCAGTTTTTGTTAATGTAATTGTCAGAAATATGGGAAATATGATGCCTGAGGAACAGAAAAATATCTTGTTCACTAATTTCCTTAATGGTTTTGATATGAAGTTTATTATTGACCTGTAATGTGATGGAATTATGTGATATTAATAGTGAAACTAGGAAATACAATAGAAGTAAACAGTATGTTTAAATTAGTTAAGGTTTCTTACATATAACATAAATCCAACTCAAACTAGCCTAAGCTAAAAAAGATTTATATATCCAGGGAGTCCAAGAAATGGAATAGATCTGGAACTGTCTGGCATAGGGAATCCAGGAGCAACAGTGGCATCATCAGGCTTCAGTTTTCTTCTGGGGCTGGTGGGATGGAGCACTGTGTTTGAACAACCTGGATGATACATACCTAAGCTAGTGGGGAACAAAATTCACCCTAGCCACAGGACTAAACAAGATCACTGTGGAAAAGGGTGAGGGTATTTTTCTAAAAAAGGAAATGCTGGCCAGATGAACATATATCTGATAAAATAGAAAAAGGAAGTTGTAAAGCCAGAAAGTTTAAAATAGCTATGAACATAGTCAGGGCCTAGACATAAGATTAGACATTAGGAATTAATAAAATAAGTGAATTTGCTATGAAGCAACACCAAATGTAAAAAGTGAAAAATCAATATTACTAGAAGCACAGGGATTTAAGTAAAATTTTCATGTCCCCATTTTTGCAGAAATTTCTTAGGCAGAAATCTTCATTTTGTCTTATTCCTACTAAAACATTGTTGGTTTTGTTTTTTTATTTCAGAGGGTTTTTTTTTTCAATTTTATTTATTTGTTCATTCGTTTGTTTGTTTTGCAGAAGTGCCAGGTTAAAAAAAGAAAACTGCAAAATAGTCATCTCAGATATTTAGCATTGTAACATATTTATTTAGCAAATTCTCTATCACCTGTCCAGTATTTGATATTCCTTAAATACATACAACAGGATATTTGATGTTTTGTAAGTTGATTGTGAGATGTCCTTTTTTTTGTGTGCTTCCTTTTGACTAACCACTTAGGGTATCTGTGCCTTTCATGTTACCATTTCAATCCTGTTTTATAGTTTACTGAAAATTGGCAAAGCATTCAATTATTGGCATAAAGAACTAGCCTCCTATTTTTAAATGCTTTTTAATAATTTTGAGAATGTTTTATCTATAATTCTGGAATGTGACATGTTAAGGCAAGCATTCAAATATCTTAAATTTAATTAAGTAATTCTGTTAGGGGCGCCTGGGTGGCTCAGTTGGTTAAGCCTCCAGCTTCAGCTCAGGTCATGATCTCGCAGTTTGTGAGTTTGAGCCACACATTGTGCTCTGTGCTGACAGCTCAGAGCCTGGAGCCTGCTTCAGATTCTGTCTTCTCCCTCTCTCTGCCCTTTCCCTGCTCACACTCTGTGTCTCTCTGTCTCTCAATAATAAATAAATGTTAAATTTTTTTAAAGTAACTGTTAGATTTGCTAACTCAGGTAGAAAACAAATCAATTAATTTAGTTCCTAACGTTATATACAAAGACCTGAACTGCTGCATGTTTTTATTATTCTCCGTTATTAAAATAGAAAAGTGGTATTGTCCAGTGTTTACTTATATTACACTAATTTTCCTCTGGTCAGGATTTCATAGTTTGTCTTATGACTTTATTCTTATGGAAGAAAATAATCTCAGGGAGAACATATGAGTTCAGCAAAATTAATGAACTTCTGCCTCCACACTCAATTGTGTTTATATTATTGCCATTACTATGGTTTGTAAGGTATGTGATGACACCACTGAAAATGAAAGACAATATTTTCATGTGCATTAAACTGTGAATAAACAAAACTGAATTCTGATTTACCAGCACTGTTTTTGAAAAGTTACGTTGAAAATTCTTTTTGGCTATACCTGATGTCCAGTGGGAAAGGTGGTTGGAAGCTGGTGATTCTTTTAAAATTACAAGTTTGAACTCAATGGAAAAGCTGATTACAGACCCTTTAAAATTTTAATACTATAGGCAGGGAGGAACAATAGCATCAGCATCGCTTGAACAAAATACCTCTAACACTCAAGATTGTTGCCATTCTCCCTTTAGAGATTTTTTTTTTTCCTGCTAAAAAGGAATTGCAAAGGTTAAGTCATATCTGTAAGAATCAGGTTGTAGTCTTGTGTATTTTTTTCACATTAAATAGCAAAGATGCCTTAACATATTTAGCATTTTCTGAGTTTTACTATTAATAAAGTTAAAAGAAAATCTAGTGTGATCAGGCAGTGGAGCCACATTAAGTTTGTATGTGAAACCTCCATGGTGCTTATCTTACTCTAGATACTGCTCTGAACCCGTGTTCCACATTCTGAGTTCTGTGTATAAAGTTAAACATTCCAGAAGGGCATATATCTGATGATACAGATGAATAAGGTTGAAGTTTAATAATGAGCAAAGTTGATAAATTTAATATGTTCTTGTCTTCAATATTTGTTTTATTAATATAATTTGATTATTTTCTGGGAAATTATGAAACACTACTAAAAATACTGATAGATTATGAAACTACCAGAAATTTAAGGTTCCTGTTTATACTATAATACTATATTTTAACATACCAAAACCAATATTAAATTTCTTTTTGTTTAAATTTCTTAAAATATTAATTACTTGCAGGCAAAGTTGTTAGCTATGCAAGAAGCCAGAGAAACTGCAATTCAACATTACAAAAAACTAGAGGAAGAAATCCAAACGCTTCGTGTTTACTACAGGTAAAATTCTCTTTAACATTTATTTAAATGTTGTTTTGGGAAATGTTTCTACCCAGTTTTACAGTGAGTGAAGAAATAACTCAAGGAAATTAAACATTATTCAGTTAAAAAATATTTTTATAATTTTAAAGTTATTCAGGCACAAAATATTCTTTATTTTACCTGTTCTGCCTTTCTGCATTCGGTAAAATTTAAGTTTAGTTTCCCATCAGAATTATAAACTTTACATAACTTATAACCAGTTGTCTGAATGGAGTCTGGTTAGCTATTGAACTATTTGCTCATCTAAATGCCACCTCTAAAATGATATATATTTTTAAATAGTACATGAATAGCAGTAATAACAGCCTTTCACCAATTATAATATGAGAAGTTTCTAAAGGAATTCCAGTGAAGGATTTTTAACACTTATTTAATTTATGCTCCAAAAGTAGTTGTGAAATTAATTCAGTAGGTCACACTGCCATTTTTTAATGAAAAGAAATAGAATTGAAAATGTCAGAGTGCATCTCCTGTAGTAAAAGTAAATATTGTTTTGTGATACTTTGGTTTCAGTTTTGTGTAGTGAGAGAGAGAAATAACATTGTGTATTGAGTTACCTGTAAAATATATATTTTTTCACAATGGATCATGGTAAAAAAAAAAAAAAGGTTTGAAAAATGATGTCCTATATGTTCTCTGATACTTAATAAGATTAAAAAGAATCTCAAGTCTAAAACATAAGAATTCACTAACTTGGGCTGTGGGTTATTGAAAGATTTTCTTCTGGTTTTGCCTCCTCTCAGAATAATGTGGTTAAGTACATAAAATGCAATTAAATCAAAATCAGTTTTACTGAAATAGTTATGAAAGTATTATGTCGTGTTATATTACTATATTCACATATCTTTATTAATACATTAAGTAACTAGGTCTAACAGCATGTCTATTAACAACCATAATTTCAAAATAGTGATGACTGTAAATGGTATTTTGGGGATAACTGCAAACACTGAAATGTGATGTGAAAATATCAGTGGCTTCTGTGGGTGCAAATTCTCTATATAAAGAGTTAACCAAGTAAAATTAGGTCATTAGCATGGGCTCTAACCAAATATGACTGATGATCCTCATAACAAGTAAAAATTTAGACATAGAGACACACACATGCAGGAAGGCTATACAAAGACACCAGGTGAAGACAATCTTTTGCCTGGCATCCACAAGTCAAGTAATGCCAAAGTTTGGCAGCAAACACCAAAATCTAGATGAGGCCTGGGAGGATCCTCACCTATTCCATCAAAGAGAGGATAGTCCAACTGACATGTTGATTTTGGGCCTATAGCCTCCAGCACTCTGAGGCCAGTAAATTTGTTTTAAGCCTCCCAGTTTGTGCTACAATGCTATAAGCAGCCTTAGGAATTGATAGAGTTATCAATATTAAATATGTTTGGGGCCCCCCCGGGTGGCTCAGTTGGTGAAGTGTCTGACTCTTGATTTCGGCTCAGGTCATGATATCACAGTTTGTGAGTTCAAGCCTCATATCAGGCTCCATGCTGACAGTGCAGAGCCTGTTTGGGATTCTATCTCCCTCTTTCTCTTTATCAGTCTCTCAAAATAAATTTTTAAAAATAGTAAGTAAATTGATTGATGACTGAGAAGTCATTTACCTGCTGTTAGAAGTAATGTCTATGTGTGGTCACGTAGATAAGCAGGAACCTGATAATGAATAAAGATGTCTCAGCCACACATCCTTTTTTTTTTTAGACTATAGAGTAGATATGACAATCTTTCCTTCATACTTTATACCAATGGATTCTCCACTGTAGCTGTGCATTGAAATCACCTGGAGAGCTTCTAAAAATCCTAATCCCCATCTCCTCCCAGGCCAATTACATTGGAGTCTCAGGGTAGGACTAGGCTATTGGTGTATTTTAAGGTCCCTAGAAATTCCCACATGTATCCAAGTTTGAGGGATGCTGCTTTACATGCACATTTTAGATAGCTGCATTACATTAGGGTCTCTTCTTGGTAGAATAATCAAGGCATATATTAAACCCTCTACTAGGACTTAAGAATCTCATGTGATTTGTGCCCAGACCTTGGATATTACAGTGTGGTATGAAGTAACTTCAGTCTATTGATAAGGGAGAGTTTTTATGGAACCTTTTCCTGACATCCTTATGAGAGAAGACAGCAAGTGCTTGTTGATAAAGTGACAGTGTTCAAGAATTTTGAGAGGCATATGATATTCTTACATGAACTGACATTTCTTCCTCAAAAATTAACCTGATGCCTGTTCTTAATGCCTGTTCCTTCTTCTTTTTGTTGAATTACAGAAGATTACTGAAAGATTTTTTAAAATTGTAGGCTAAAATATTTGTTTTTCCACGACTTTGTAATCTACATGATTATAACAGAGTTAAACAACTCTTCAAGTTAACGTTTATTGGCTCAAAGATATGCTTCATGTGTACCCCCTTTATTGCTCCTTAAAAAAAAATCTGGTAGTGTGGTGAAGCTACTGAGATTTGCACTTAGGCTACCCTGCCTTTTATGACTTTATATAAATGAACTTCTCCAAGACCATTTTTGTGTGTGTGTGAAATTAGAATTATAGGACCTACTTCATACAGTTTGAAGTATGTATAGCTCTTAACACGGTATTTGTCTTATTGTTAGTGCTCAACCAATGTTAAGACAAATATCTTTTTACAGGACAAAGTGAGTAAGGTAGGAGTAGAATCAAAAAGTATATCACTGAAGCCAAAGAAGGAGATTAAAAAAAAAAAAAAAAGTCAAATGTTGCCAAATGGTTAAGGAGGTTAAGGACAAAAAGTATCCATTTTGTTTGAAGTTATGTGGTCATTAGTACGTAACCTCCACAGAAGTAGTTTTAATAAAACATCAGATGTAGAAGTCAGTTATCTGTGAATTGGAGAGTGATTAGAGGTAAAGTAGTAATTTGGACAATAGAATGGTCCTTGAAGAAGCTTGAATAAGAATGATGTTAATGATAATTGAGAAGAAAGGAAGTAAGTTAAGAACTTACGGTTTTTGTTTTTGAAAAACGACAGCTATTTGAGCCTATTTATGACTAACTGAAAGGAGCAAATAGAGAGAATTGTTAGGGAACAGGATTCCTAAAGAAATAGGAAGAGATAGAAATTAGAATCTGTAAAAGAGTTTGCCTTGAACAGGAAGAAGGTCACAGACAGGAGTGAAGGAGATAAGACTAGCTGTGGAATACAAATAAAATTCAATTCACAGTTAATAGGTTTCATTTTTTTTTTCCTGTAAAGTAAGGATCAATGTAGGCTTGTAAAGTGTCAGAGGGCAGGACATTTTGGAAGGAATAACAACAGAGTAGCTACTGAAGAGAATGGGAAAGAGAATTGAATAAGGGCAAGAAGAACAAGACAAGCAATCCTGAGGCGTAGGCTGGAGATAGATGCTATAGATTTGTATGAGTTCTAGTTTGTACAGTTGTATAACTTCACACATTCAGCAGTTCTTGTAAACACAAAGAAGCAAAGAAGGCAAAGGATTGAAATTATGCAGGATTCCAAATTTGTGGGACTAACATGATGAAGAGGAGAGCGGTTGAAAGTAAACTAGCAAAAAGGCATTGAAATGATGAATGATAGTCTGAGCTAAATAGGGCAGGAAATAAAATTGAGGGAACATATATACCAAGAGAAAAAGGAGAAGTCAAGAAGCCATAAATCTTGAGATCAAAGAGCAAAAGTAGTGGGAATAAGAAAATTCAAGAGCTAAAAGGATCAGAGATTGTAGTCAGAAAGTGACACATTGCTATTTAAGATCTCAGAGATGCACTCATTCTGAGCCTTGGCAGTATTTAAAGACATTGCCTTAGAAGTAAATGGTTGAAACTGAGAAGAGGGAGGGGCCACTAGATATGAAGAAGTCAAAGATTTATGAAACTAAAGTATTGAATACCCATTTGGATTTTGTCTCTGAAAATATTGATGTATGTTGAGGTACTCACTGTAAGTGCCATAATGGAAAACGACCCAAAAATAAATAGATAAAAGCTATATGTTGACATAAGCAGCTGTATATCTCGAAGGATGAAACCTGGCAGTGTGTGATGCACAGGAGAATGCATGGTGTCTATGAGGAAAATTGCGCCCTTTAAGAAGATCTGTATTTCTATCAAAACAAAAAGGTACAGGGAACTTTTGTGCATTGTTGATGGGGATATAAAATAATCTGCTGTGGAAAACAGTTTGGCAGGTCCTCAGAAAGTTAGATGTGGTATTCCCACGTGATCCACACATAGATCCCTTATTCTACACATAGATGTATACCCTTAAAGAACTGAAAGCAAGGCCTCAAATAGATACACACCACTGTTGGTACTATATTTTTCAAATTAGTCGAAAAGTGAAAACAACTCAAGTGCCCATCACCGATAAATGAATAACAATGTATTATATACATACAATAGAATATTATTCAGCCATTAAAGGAAATGGAATTCTGATGCATGCTCTGACATGAATGAACCTTAAAAGCATTTGTAAGGGCTTCCCCTTACAAAGCCAGAGAGAAAAGACAAATACTGGATGATTCCACTTCCACAAGGTATCTAGAATAGACAAATTCATAGAGACAGAAAGTAGAATTGAGTTACCAGAGACTGAGAGAAGGGAGGAATGGGGAAATCCCAGGGGCTGGGAGAGGAGAGAATAGGGAGTTATGATTTAATGGGTACAGAGTTTCTGTCTGGGATGGTGAAAAAGTTCTGGAAATGGATGATGGTAATGGTTGTGCAATATAGTAAATTTACTTCATGCCACTGAATTTTACACTTAAAAATGGTTATAATGGTAAGTTTTATGTTACCACAGTTGTTTTTAAGATGTACAGAGAAGGTTCTGTGAAAATATATAGAAATTTATTTTAAATAGAATGGGGGTAAAATCCCTGGGATATAAAACTCTGGGAAGGGAGCGGCAGTTACCAAAAAGAACAAAGCTGAAATTTTCTGGGATCTC